GTAGCAGTAGTAGTAGTAGTAGTAGTCGTAGTCGTAGTGGTAGTAGTAGTAGTAGTAGTAGTAGTAGTACTAGTAGTACTAGTAGTACTAGTAGTACTAGTCGTACTAGTCGTACTAGTCGTACTAGTCGTAGTCGTAGTCGTAGTCGTAGTCGTAGTCGTAGTCGTAGTAGTAGTAGTAGTCGTCGTAGTCGTAGTCGTAGTCGTAGTCGTAGTCGTAGTCGTAGTCGTAGTCGTAGTAGTAGTAGTAGTAGTAGTAGTAGTAGTAGTGGTAGTGGTAGTAGGAGTAGGAGTAGGAGTAGGAGTAGGAGTAGGAGTAGGAGTAGGAGTAGTAGTAGTAGGAATAGTAGTAGTAGTAGTAGTAGTAGTAGTAGTAGTAGTAGTAGTAGTGGTAGTGGTAGTAGTTGTAGTTGTAGTTGTAGTTGTAGTTGTAGTTGTCGTTGTCGTTGTCGTTGTCGTTGTCGTTGTCGTTGTCGTAGTCGTAGTCGTAGTCGTAGTCGTAGTCGTAGTCGTAGTCGTAGTCGTAGTCGTAGTCGTAGTCGTAGTCGTAGTCGTAGTCGTAGTCGTAGTCGTCGTAGTAGTAGTAGTAGTAGCAGGAGTAGTAGTAGTAGTAGTAGTAGTAGTAGTAGTAGTAGTAGTAGTAGTAGTAATAGTAGAGGGGGAGGGGGGGGATTCAAATCAGACGATTCCAAAACGCGCGCAGAGAGAGCAAAGGAGCAAGTACAAGCCAAGAACAGAAACAAGTACAAAACAAGAACAAACAGAAGAACAATACCTCACAATCAGACACGCCGGCAGGCCGGCGGATTTTGGGAGCCCCCAAAATAAAACAAATAGGTGGTTTATTAATCCGGGGTTGACATGATGCATCTGATGTGTCCCAAATTGGACATTAAACTTTTAACCAACCACACCGTTTTTTTTCCGGAAATATTTCATGAGAAATCAAAGGACAATTAGAACCAATGCTTAGCCCCACTTCTGATGCAGCCCAGGCTGGCAGAAGGTGACGGACTCGCGGGGCACCTACTTGGTCAAGAACTCGCGCTGGTTTTTGGCGTGATGTGTGTTTTGGGCACGCTGCGAAGCCCTCAGACATTCCAAAGCTGCAACTTTCAAGCGCCTAGTTTGGTCGCCTGGCACCGTTGAATCGCCGGCACAAAGACGAATGCATTGTGGGAGGTGTATGGGGGTGTATCCAATTTGACATGAATTGACCGAAGTGCTGAGGATACCCATTTGGGAATGGTTTATACCATCTATTTTTGATGGTTTGGGGGATGCTTTAGTATTGTTTTTCCCACATTATTCGTTTTGTGTTTTTGATGTTCGTTTTTGGTTTGGCAAGGCAATGAATTCTGGTAGAGTCCTTCATGTATTGTGGCGCACCCACGCACACAGCCGGGTCCAAAAAGTGAAAAACTCTTACTGGAATATCATGCTTTGGGGATGATTTCCGATTTGCCGTTTTTTGGGATATTCACCTTGGTGACTGGGCCTTTAGCCTTTATCCCACCCCAATATGAATATGGGATGTATGGCTCACTTTTGGGCATGCAAAAGGTGGGAATTGGTGAGCGGTGGCCAGCAGAAATTTGGGTTTGAACAGACCGTGGGTGCAAATATATGAAGCAGAAATCAAAGGGCCGGTGGGTTATGTCTAACTTCAGCCATTAACCATTCGATATGCCAGGATGAAATTTGGCTTGTCAAAATGACACTTCAACGCTTCAACGAAATCAAGATCTCCTGACTTCAGAAACCTCAAAAAGTCTTTTGGGGCCGGGCCCTTAAAAAATTGTGATAACCTCTCTGCTTCATATGTTTTTAGTTGGTGATGTTGAGATACTTTTGGGTATGAACCAAAACCCTGGACATGAACATCCAGCTTGAAACATTTTCGCGAACATTTTGTTTGGGGTGAATTGAACGGCACCAAGGTAAACGGACCCATAACTGTATTTTTGATTGATGATCTCCGATTTTGACGATCTTTTTGTTCAACACAACAACCTCCAAATACGTTCCAATGGTTGTGGAACCATCCCACCAGGTGTTGCACCCTGTTTGAACATAAGGGATTTCTCAGCCAGGCTGCTTTCTGGCCCAAGTCATTTGGGAAAATAACCTATGAACAAATAAAAATCAAAAAAAAATATGCGCCTTTGCGTTGAATATTGTGCAAATTCAATCGCTGCTCTAAATATGTCCAATATTTGTCATTCCCGTGTTTTTAGTCGGGGCACCCTTCTTTTCCCTTGTCGCAAATCATGCGGAACCATGGCGCCATTACTATCTTCGTTGCAGTCATGGTTTCCTTACATCGTTACGCAACTTGGCCGCGGCATCCAGAGGCAACAACTGGTACTTTGGTCATGTGGTTGTAGGGGATCATTCAACCGTACTGAATTTTGCCAATGAGGATACTTTTTATATTCAACTTTGACATCATGCGATAGGTCGTATCCGATACTTTCATATCATTTGAAGGTGCATTTTGGTTGAACACGATGAGACATCTAAATCCTGTGCGCCTTCCAACGCATCTTTGGGATCTTGTCCGCGAAATTGGGGTGTGGTGAGGTCATTTGCTTGTATATTTGTTTTGAAAAACATGGTGTATCAACCCATTCAAATAGTGGGAACAACGACATCCCAATTTCATGCGTTGATACACATTATCCCGTTTCTTACATCCCAATATTTTCCCATCAACTAATCTCACGAATACGCAGCGACAACTCGTGGATATTTACCGGGCCAGCCGCTTTTGGGGAGGAAGTGACGAGAAGCGATTGCCCTCTTTGAGTTTAGGATCTTGGGAGCCATTGCTGGCGGTTGTCCGCCCCAATCCTAACTCATCTTTAGGACTTTTTGGCAGGTCACCTGCCAGATTTCGCAATGACACTGACTACGGCTGGGGTGAAGAACTCTCACACCTATTGAATAGAATTTGACAATCATCGTATCTACATGATCATAGATAGTACCCATTCATGGATTCTTCGAAAAAATTACCATTTGATCCGAAATTTTATTATCGCTGTGACTGGTTGTTGAGGTAATCATCGCTGTTGGTCACCTTTCCTGGCGCATAAACCAATTCAAAACGGTGAAGACTTTCTGGAAGGCGCGCTGTCAGGAAATTTGATGCCCAAGCAGTTGAGAGTTCTTAATGACAAAATTTCGATATATTTTTGATGTTATGGGTGTTTTCTAACTTCTAACATTCTAACCACCATGTTTGCGCACTAGGGGGCAGTGGTCTCCGAGCTGCCCTGGTGCTGGTGCAAAGCCCTGTTTCAATTTCCTTGGTTTGAATGAAAAAATATTGGACATATTTTACAATATGTGCAATATGTCATGCCCTGCACGAAAAAAATACTGAATGACCCAGCCATGGGCTCACGCCAGGGCAGGGTGGAGCACTTGTACAGTGACGTTGGATGCCCAACATGCTATTTTTTTTTGATGCCCATTGTCTGCGTGACTGCGTGCTGCGCGTGAGTGTGCCTCTGCCTTTTGTTTTTTTGGCATAGATCACTTTGACCGATAGCGACTTGAGTTGGAATATGCCATGACCACTCCTTTCGACTTGCCTCCAAAATTGGCTCAACATGTTTAATGAAAACAGCCGTTATTCCAAAGTGACTCAAAGTCACAAACCCAACCTGCGCAGGTAGATGGATGTCAAGCACACGGTCGCCTCAAGAATGCCCAAATGCCTTGGCAACTTGCATGGAAATTAGAAATTTGGAAGTAAATCAGGGCCAAATTTGCTTTAACAAAGTATGATCTGGTGAAGCTTTGGTGAAGGTGATGGTTTCTTTTTCACACATTGGTCAATCCATCAAGAGGTGGGGAATCTACTTTGCATGTCATTTTTTTTTTGGGGCGCGGATGAGCAAATCCAAGAAAACTGTTGTGAATAGACCGTTGTGTTGTGTGAATAGACCGTTGTATTTCTTGATATTTTTAGAAGGGATCTTGTCTCGCGTTGAATTTTGGGGTGTTCCAGACTTTAGCTTGGTGTCAAACTGGGGAGCACAATCTGATGGCATCTGATGGTTGTTCATGATGTTTTGATTTAAGATTGAGGGGAAATGTTGGGAAGGACTTCTCGGTGAGCAACATGAACTTGACATTGCTTCAGCAGTTTTCTGTGCCAAAGTTGCCAGCATCCATGCACCATCATGGGCTGAAAGTTTTTTTTTTGGTATTTGGCAGTATGCAGAGGTTTCAGTAAATGTCCCGCATCCGTGCACCAAGGAAGCGCAGAACCGCTTCGGATGTGCGTTTGACAAAAGATGCACAAGATTTCGTCTCAGGGGAGTAGCACATCACGAAGCAAACACTTGGCCAAGTGCACGATGAATAGGAATTTGAATACAGTTGTGCCTGCTGTTTGGAAAACCCACATGGTGCCAATTTTTTGCAACTAGTTGTGATTGCCGAAGAACCTCTAGGAAGAGCACACGTCCACATGAATATATTGATTCACAAGTTAGATCCCACAAAGCCGCAATCAACTGATGAAACCGGCAATCTCCTGCATTCTGATGAACTTTGTTATTGGCGGTTTCCACGCTTTGGTGCAGGTCTTGAGCAAGGATGGATCAAAACTACAATGACTATCCAAAGTAGATGTGTAAATATCGGATAGTCATTTGCCTAGCGATACAGTCTACTGAACTCCTGTACCCCAAAAAAGAGGAGGTTTGGAGGCAAATCGATCAGGAAACAGTTTGAACAGTGACCAAAGCCTGCAGGCTCACAGTTCTCATTGTCAAAGAATGATTTCATAGATGATCAATCTGCGCTTATGGAAAGTATTTGAGTGAATTGCCTTACTTAAAGTCGAGCATAGGTTCCAAGGACGTCAACAGTAGCGTGCATGTCATCACTCGTTTGTGTGCCATTAGCCACTAGACACCACAATAGACCAATCGTTGGCCGAGACTTTTCAACATTGTTTACCATTATTTACCAATTGTTTGGTAGATGCCCAGGGCGAAGATTCGCCCCAAGTGGATTTGCTGCGTCGCGCTGGCTTTTTATCCCTTGACTGCCTGGGTGGCGGGACGACCCACGGAGCGTCACTTTGTGCAGACTCTGCCCATGAGACATGCGATGAAAGCGTCTGCGCAACAACCGGAAGCGTCAGGCTGGCGTGTGGCAGATGCTTGCCTGCAAGTGGGTGGCTGGGTCCTGGTCCGCCTGGATGGTTATTTTGTTTGCTTGCAATACCCTTTGACAACCTCACCACGACCTCACTGTAAATGTAAATTAAATGAATTTAAATGATGGTTAGTAGATGATGGTTAGTAGATGTTACCGGGAATCACCGGAAAATGGTCGCTTCATATAGTGAAGATGCATATGCATATGTACACATATGTATACGCGTTTGCATACATGCCAGTCGTGCCGGGTGGTATCCCGGATGCGAACCATTGATATCGATACAGTTGTTACTGAAACCTACGTCCGTCGGCGTGTTCATTGATGGAGATCTCTTTCTCCGTATAGTAAATGCTGGAAACCCTGGTTCAGTGCAAGGGGACTCCTCATCCACCAGTTGTAGGAAAGCTTCTAACCCTCATCCATGAAAAATCACTTTACATCCCGTTATCACAAAGATATAGTTGTTTTCCAGCCGCTTGGAGCATCAACCCAAAAAAAATCCCGTTTACATGGCAAGTGTAAACCACTTTTGAAGAAACCCGGTTGCTGAAAATATCTGCGAATATTCCCCAATCACCATTAAAAACCAAGTAAACTCTAGTAGTTTATACATTCCATTGAATTTCCATTAAACCCTGAGCTGGTAAATTTACACCCACCTTTTCAAAATGGGATTTACCCCGGGTTTATTTATCATTTATCATTAGCTGGTAATCGGATTAACTACTTCAGGGTGGGTAGAGCCAGTGTAGTTCCATTGACTCTGGGTAGTTGATAGATTCTATTTAACTTCATTAAACTCTGGGTAAATCTGATTAAAACAACATATAACAATATTAAGCCCCATTCAAATATCCAAATAATGTGAATCAGCTGAATCAGCATTAAATCCAATATTAAATCCCTGTGAATCAGCATTAATATCAAGTAATCCAAATCATGTTGATTAATGTCGTTGAGCCCCATTCAACAATATATATATAATTATATATATATATATTATATATATATATTATATATATATTATATAATATGTTTGGCTTCAACTTGTTGTGGCCTTTGTTTGTTGGGAGTAGTGAGCTTGCGAACGTACCGCCTGTAACAAAAAAAAGAAAAATCTGATGAACTGAAAACCAACTGACGGTGTTGGTGAGCCTGGCGGTGTTTTCAGCTCAGCTTTCAGAGTCAAGCAAATATAGCTGATCCTCCTGTGAAGAGTTGAAGATGTTAAACATGTTCAAATTGTTCAAGCTATTTTAAGATGTGTGGAAGTGCGGTGAAATCTGCTGAAACTTCCGTAGTTGGACGCCTTTTCCATTCCGCACTTGTGCGGCGGCAGATGCTCCTGGCTGAATGCTGGAAACCAACTGAAGTTTCCAAACAACTTCTGTTTATTATCATGTTGTGACATTTACATCTGTCACTGTTGTTTGAAGGATGATCTTTACTTCTCACTTTTTATTTAGATCAGATTGATGTCAGTCTTCTCACCTTTTGCTCTGTTGCGAACATTTTGATTTTATGTTCCGCGCAATTTTGGCTAGGGTGTGGAGGGTGGGTTGCACTTGACCCGCATATATATATGTAACAATATTAATCCAAATAATCCATGTGAATCACAGGTGGTGGGTGCCGGCGTGGCCGGCCTGGTCTGCGCGCGCTCCCTCCACCGCAGCGGCTGCCGGGTGGAGGTCTTCGAAGCCGCCGACGGCGTCGGAGGCCGTGTGCGGAGCGACCGGGTGCCGCTGCCAGGACCGGGGATCACCACATGAATGGTGTTAAAACCTATGGTTATCACCCATACATATATATATATACTATAGGTTATGAATGGGTTTTGTTTCTGTTTGTTTTTACTATGGTTATTACTGTCAAAACCCAAACAACAATAGGGTTTCACATACAGAAAGGCTTGTTGTGGGCGCGCAAAAAGTAAAAAAAAACCCTAAATGTATTACATGGTGTAAAGCAATCTTGGCTTTTTGCTGTACATACAAGCCTTTCTTAGTGGAAATAAAGCTTAACATGTTTTAAACCACAAAGAACCACAAAAGAAAAAAACAGCAAAGCAATGTTTTGGGAACTACTTGGATCTAGCCATGTTCCCACTAGTCCGGAAAACATTTTTTTGTTTTGTTTTTCGATGTTTTGATCCATAGGATTAATCCAGATTAATCCAGATCAAATCTGATTCATCTTGCCTCCAAGGCATCATTGTTTATCAAATACATCTTTCAGAGGTCATTATTGAAATTCAAAGTATGATAAACATCCGCAAGTTTTCCTCGGGGGTGTATAATTGTCTTTTTGGCGAGTGAAACCTTTCCTTCAAATAAATGGTGTTCCTTTCCAAACAGATGGCAGCTGGGCTTCTTTGAAAGGAGTGTCGCATTTTTTCAAAGAAATGGTGTTACTTTCAAACATAAAGGACAGCAACGCGCCTCTAGGTATTCAAAAATCAGCAACAAATCCATGAAATGAAACAAACTCGCTATGTATATTTAGATTTATGATGCACCGTCCAAGCTAATTCTGTAAAGCGCATTTTTTTTTTTAAGCCAAAAAAAAACGATTTAGCCATTTTGAAAAAAACAAAAAAAACGATTAAATAACAAAGCAAAAAAAAAGCAAAAAAGCAAAAAAACAAACAAAAAAACAAAAAAAAAGCAAACAAAAAAGCAATAAACAAGCCAAAAAAAGCAAAAAAAAAGTAATTGGACAAAAACAACAAAAAACATTAAAAAACAAAAAAAGAAAAGTAAAAAAAACAATACAACATCAAGACAATAGCAAAACTATAGCAAACCAATAGCAACTAAATGCTTTCATACATTAATTTTGAAACAAAAGCAAAAGGGCAGGTTTGGGGGAAACTTTGCAGATTTGGCTGCTCCATCCGGGAAGGTGGTGAAGGTGGCTGGAAACTTGGGGGGACCCCCTCCCGGGGTAGGGTCAGCGAGGAGGTTGGGACCCCCTTCTGGGAATGTCGGGTCCAGCTGAGTGTGCAGGCCTCTTTCCATTGTCACCTGCGCGCAGGATGGGATGGAGACCATTGAAGACGATCCTGGGTTTTTACTTGTTTTTTTTTTTTGCTTTTTCAAATCGCCTTTTTTGGCGTTTTTTTTTTTCCAATCGTTTTTTTTTTTCAAGTGCTTTTTGTTTGTTTGTTTTTTTTTGCTTTTTCAAATCGCTTTTTTTTTTGCGTTTTTTTTTTTAAAACCAGGTTTACAGGAGTTAGCTTGTATAGCAGACAACATAAATTTAGATATTTATATATATTCCCCCTTGGAATTTCCTATACAGAATGGTATTCGTAGCCCCCTAAAACAGCTACCATTTTAACATATTCTTTGGGCAGAAAACAATTTCACATTTCTGGAGCACCGCAAGGTCACACAACCGCCAGAGTGCTTTGGATTGTCAACTCACAACTAGCAACAAGACGTGAAGGGAGGCACCCGAACATCCCCAGAATCCTACAACATCTGTGACTTTTTTTGGGAAGTTTCCAAAGGTTTGGTGTAATGTAGACCCTTGACGTATGGGTTTGACTTGCCGCCCATCATCGCTGAAGGAGAACCAGAGCAAGGCCGTGGTTGCAAATCTCTTCTCGCAGTCTCATCCAATACCAATGCAATGATACGTCATGATATGTAATGGTATGTAATGGGCATTGTGTGTCAATACCAGGCCCATTTGCAAATAATCAACATGTGCAAATAATTTCGAAATGTAATTTGGCAAACATTGCAAATAATCCACATCTTCGAAACGTGGGGCTGCACCCTTCAGGCTGTCCCCGTGATTTCTTTGGGCAGACGTACTTGATTGGATTTCGTTGTACGTTGGGACTGCTTGTTGTCCATGTTCATTTCCGGATGTTACGGCAAATTTGTTGGTGGATGGATCCAATATCCCAAACTCGGGTGGTCCAGGTTCCTTCTTGTTGGACCGCGGCTTCCAGATTCTGATTGAAGCATATCCGGAAGTGAAACGGCAGTTGGATTTGAAGTGCTCTGGCAGCAAAAACCTGAACTAGTGGATTTCTCTGACGAGAACATACTATATTAAATAGATTAAATTCTTGACCGAGCATGAAAATCATGAAACCTGTAGGGGATTTGAAACTGGATTCCCAGTGCGTACAGAATTACATTAAACAGTTTGGTTTTATTCGGCGCAACTGAGAACTGACCCCGTATTGGGACCAGGCGAGCCACAAATCTTCGAAACCGCGACACCAAAATCAATGGGTGGTCGAAACGAGTCGAAACCTTGGGTGAATCCGTTCCAGGTAGTTTGCATCGTACGTGTGGGTTTCGACAACTCACCAGGACTAACCCTCCATGGGCTACTGGGCTGGTGGCGGTCGAAACGAGATACCACTTATAAAATGGTGATTCATTCAATGGTGATTCAAAGTGGGACATCATGGTATTTAATGGGAATATCATAGGAATATGATGGGAAATTCTTAGCAATCGCTTCCCTGCAACATCCTGTAACATTAAATACCTCCGGTTGAGACCATGAAAGGGATAATCCATACATTAAATAGCTCCTGTAACATGGAAAGCATCCATAAATTGAGGCCCCTGGCTCTGCGCAGCTTCGCGCCGGGCGCGGTGCTGGCCTTTGGCCAAGGGCAGCTTCGGGTCGTGGCGGACCCCTTGCGGAGTCCCAGATATCTCTGGAAGACTTTGACGTCCAACATTTGTTCCATCCAGGATGGGGTTTGATCTTCACAAGATATCTTTTTGGGATTTTGAATAAGAAAATGTATGAAGGACCATTTGTATCCATTTGTTCCATCCAGGACATTGTTTTCTTGGGTCTCGTGATCAATCCAGATACCTGTTAAATCCTGTTAAACTATCATAGTATCGGGACATATCATGGGTTATAATCCTGTGGTCTTTGGTAGAACTAGGGGTAACATGGCCACACATTTAGAGAAATGAAAAGTTATGCAGTGTCAAACCTTGATTATTCTAGTAAAGGTATCATCGGACTCCCAACCACCTAGGGATACCCTCAGTCTACACGTTTGTCGTTTTCGTGGCAATGAACTCTGCAGGATTTGTGGCAACTGTTGCTGCTGCGCTTGAAGCAACTCTTGTTCGAGAGCCCGTACACACCCCTGGAGGAAGCAGATGTTGCACCTAACACAGAGGAGTTTCTGTGCCGGAAGCTGCAACTGTCCAGCGAGCTGGTGAACCGTTTCTGGCGCCTGGTTTCAGCGTCTTTTTTGGATGGAAACTGGGAGATTTCATGACTGGTGGGTAGATGGTCGACAGGTTGATGGTACGGTTTTGGGGTTTTCCACCTATTTTTTGTAGGCCATTTTTGGCATGGGTGTTTCCGAACACTAGAGCATCCTAAGGATCCCAAACCACCAGCCCAAACAACCAGCCCTTTGGCATAACCCGCGCCCTAAACAGGTGATGGGAAACTGCAGGATTTCATTGATTTCACATGATTTCACCATCAAAAAGGACGATTTTACATGGTTTTCTCACTTGCCAGTAGGCTTAAAGCTTGAACCATCTTGAACCCCTCTGTGATCTCTGCAGCCACAGGCTTCTTGCGACCCTTTTTCGAAGCCATCTACGTGACACCTTTGGTGCGCCAATCTTCGGCCTGTTTTCGCTTCGTGCTGCGGATGTTGGCGGAGGGAAGCACCTCCCTACCTGACAGGGGCATGCAAGCAGTGCCGGATCAACTGGCAGAAACTTGTTGGTTTTCGAATGTTTTTGGATGGTTTTGGTTTCTGAAATTGCTCAGTCTTCAATTTGTTCATTAATGATTTGGGGTAGGACCTGCTTTGCTTCGAACTGCAACGGCTATAGATAATTTCAACTGTCCCCTGGCATCGCTGATTTTAGATTCCTTTCAATGACTATCAATGTGATAACCCCCACAATACACCCCTAGTTTTGGATGCCCAGTTCTGCAAAGAATCAGGATGGTTTCTTATCAACTTGACCACATGAACTGGCAATGGTTCAGTATGGCCATCAGAAGTTGGATGCTACAAGCGCTTCGTGTTAGAAGTTGCATTGGATTAACCAGTCCTTGAGGGATGGTCACCCACGGGATTTAGTTTAACCTCTTGAGTTTGGATTTTTCCATGGCATGGGATGGATGATGATTCAATGATGGCCTCCAGGAAGGCTTGTCCATTCATCTGGGCTCTCCAGTGGCTGAAGTCAGAGCCCGGCAGCTGCGCTTGGGCGACGACTGGAGGGACTTCGATGCTGTGGTATTGGCGGCGGAGTTGCCGCAGGCGTCGCAGCTGGTGCCGGAGATAGGCGCAGCTGCAGCACAACGGGTGTGGCTGAAAATGGGATATTTGCATCCCCCAAAATGGATCAAAATGGAAATTTTGGTAAGAAAATGATGATGAACCCTGGACTAAAGAAAGCCCATTTTTGAACAGGCTCTGAAAAAGTGAAATTGGTCGTGGGTGTACCACTTGGTAGAATTTCGAGGCAGCCATGTCCATGATATGGACAGATATGGACCCAGAGGTTTGAGCGCTTCCCGGCGCTTTTGAGCATTATTCCCCACCTGCCAGGTGAGGGTTGTTAGATTTTATGTCAGTTGCCTGCTCATCCTCTCCTCTCCTCTCCTCATCTCCTCTCCTCCTCGTCGTCCTCCTCGTCGTCCTCCTCGTCGTCCTCCTCGTCGTCCTCCTCGTCCAACTGCGACCCGCGATCCACAGTGTTCTCTGTCGGACCTCAACCACGACCATCCATGCTCAGTGTTCCCTGCCGGACCTCAACCACGACCATCCACGTCGGTGTGCCCTGCCGGACCTCAACCATGACCATCCATGCTCAGTGTTCCCTGCCGGACCTCAACCACGACCATCCACGTCAGTGTGCCCTGCCGGACCTCAACCATGACCATCCACGCCCAGTGTTCCCTGCCAGACCTCAACCACGACCATCCACGCCCAGTGTTCCATGCCGGACCTCAACCACGACCATCCACGCCCAGTGTTCCCTGCCGGACCTCAACCACGACCATCCACGCCCAGTGTTCCCTGCCGGACCTCAACCGCGAGTATCCACGCCAAAAGAATGAGTGCCAGAAGATGCCAGATAGAATGTTAGAAGATATGCCAGATAGAATGCCAGAAGGTATGCCAGATAGAATGCCAGATAGAATGTCAGCTAGAATGCCAGAAGATATGCCAGATAAAGTGCCAGAATGTTTGCCAGATAGAATGCCAGCAGATTTGCCAGATAATATGCCAGAAGATATGCTAGATAGAATGCCAGATGGAATGCCAGAAGATTTGCCAGATAATATGCCAGAAGATATGCCAGATAGAATGCCAGATGGAATGCCAGAAGATATGCCAGAACATATGCCAGAAGATATGCCAGAAGATATGCCAGAACATCTGCCAGAAGATATGCCAGAACATCTGCCAGAAGATATGCCAGAACATCTGCCAAAAGATATGCCAGGTAGAATGCCAGAAGATATGCCAGATAGAATGCCAGATCGAATGCCAGAAAATATGTCAGATAGAATGCCAGAAGATTTGCCAGTAACAAAATGTATAAATGTCATGGTGGGGATCACACGAAGTAAAGTAATTTTTAAACATTTTTAAATGTTCAAGGATGCCCATGATCCTCACATAACGGGCAGGGCGTTGCACATGATCATGGATCAAGACATGATAAGTGGTGAACATGTCTGGATTGATTGGTATTCTCATGCAGGTGGTCGCAAAGGCACTTCCAGCTGTACCTGGTATTTTGCTTTGCCTTCGCCACCACCTGTGACGGAGCCGCTGATTGTGCTCAACAGCACCCTGCAGAAGGCGGCAGATGAGGATGGAATGAGGCTGGTGGATGTGGCGTTCCCATCACTGGTCCAACCCACCTATGCCCCAGCTGGTTGGGACCTGGCAGCTGTGACGGTGCGTGGGTCTGATGGTGGTGACAAGGAAGGCTGGCTTCGAAGTGAATTGGAAGGTCTGTTTGGACGATCTTTGCAGGACTGGAAGCTGCTGCGGGTTTATCACTTGTCCTTCCATCAGCCCTCCCAGCAGCGGCCCTTGAGACCTCGGGAGCCGAGATCGACCTCGGGCGTCTATCTCTGCGGGGATCACTGTGCCGAGCCCACTTTGGATAGCGCCATGCGCTCTGGTCGTTTGGCCGCCGAGGCCGTGTTGAAGGCATGGCGGTAACCTGGTGGGTCATGGGCCAGGCGAAGCAGGTCTCAACTGAAGGATCTGAGAGCAAGGCTTTGCGATTTGTTCAGGAGTGTTCCCTACAGTACCCAGCTTCAGGAGTTTATAAACATCAATAAACATCTTACACTTCTCCACAACTATCCCCAACTGGAGTTATCACCATCGCATCCCGCTGGCGAAAGCATCTCTTGCCAGGACTTGGAGAACCAATGAGATTTCCACGAGGTCACCAAAGTCCCACCGAACATCCCTGGCCATGCTGCGAACGCCGTTGACGGAGGCCATAGCTTGGACAGCTTGGTAGTGTTGGTAGGTTTGGGCCACATCAATCCAGATGGGCGGTTTAAACACACCTGATGGCCATATATATATAATTATATATATAATATATATATATATAAATATATATATATGTATATATATATAATTGTATATATATATATAAATGGGGAACATGATGAACCAATGGGATGTTGGGGTAGCCCATTTATCCCAATTGAAGATACAGAGTTCTCCGGGGATTATTTGTCCATTCAGCCACCATTTTTAGGACCTTCTTGCGACATGAAGACATTGTGATGACTTTTGAAGCATGCGCTTACCCTCTGGTAAACTAACATAACTATTGGAAATTGTCATCTCTACAAGGTAAATAATCTATAAATTGGCCATGGTTTCCATAGCCATGTTAGTTTACTGGAGGGTATCCTGGGGCATTGCACAGTGAACATATCGCAAATTGTGTTTTTTCAGTGGATCTTGCGAACTACCGGTATATCAGAGGGGATCATGGAATGATGACTGGTTGGTTAGAGGGATTTGACCATCCATCTTGGAAGTTTATCCACGGGCAAACCAACTGGTGGTAGTTTAAGTTTTTGCGACAAAAGGGAATGTATGCTACCCAGCTTAGATTTTTATTTTCTCCCCGGGCAAAGTTTGGCCATGTTCGAACACCTCTCATTTTATGGGAATTTAATGGGGACATGTTGACATCTGGGTTTGCCTCAAACTGAGATTTTTAACTAGCCAAAATGGGGTTTCAAGATGCAAAGTTGGAAGGTTTAGCGAACATTGGGAGTTGAGAGCAGCAACGTTTTTGTTTTTTGAGACTAGCCAAAATGAGGAGCCAATGTGGACATTTGTTTTTCTTAAAGTGAGGATACCCAAAAATAGCCCCCAAAAGCGATCAGAATTGGGTTGGCCATGAGCAAAGTAGGGCTGAAATGGATGCCCTGAAAACTCACTGGAGTCCACTTGGAGCGCATTTGCAAATGGCCAAAAAGATTGGTCCAAGTTAGATTTGAGATTTGTATCCGTTGTTTCTTGTGAAGATCTTTCGGCTTAGGGACGTGGTGAGTGTGAAGATTTTCTGACGATGTCCAGTGCACAACATGGCTATGTGGATCCATCCTCTACTGACAAAAGTGCTGCGGATGAAACCGATGAGGTCGATTTCCGGATGCTGTGCTTGACTGGAGAAGGAGTGACATTAAGCGTCCCTCGCTCTATGCTTGGGTACGACCTTCGCAGATTGCTATCCGGTATCTCAAATCACGAAAGGTAGCGTCAGCTACCTGAGTTCTCCGTGCTTCAGCACAATCATAGGGTATTGGGGGGCCAGCCCGGGCTAAACGTGGAATTCTCGCCGTTATGTATTGGATATCAATTATAAGGGGGGGCCCCCCCCCCTCTAAAATGGTCATGGGTTCAATTCCCACGGGTGACACGGTCACGGGCCCCCACATTAGAGGCACACTTTCCATGAGGGAGATGTCCCTGTAGTCCAGCATAATTGGTATGCTTCAGCCTCAATAACAGTTGCTGCAAGGGGTCTTAAAAAGGGGTTTTAAATAAACCCCTTTTCGTGCATCATTTCACACTGCACAAGACACCGTATCATGCAGTCATGCTCTGGATAAAATCATCTTAGACTGCGCAAAAACGTTTTTGGTGTATCATCTTAGAGGCGCAGCATTTTGACACCACTCCTCTCCCACTACACTACCTTTCGTCCGCCTCCGCCTGCTCTCAAGTTGGGGTGCCTCACTGCCACAACACTGGTTTTCGTTGCTGAAAATAACTAGGTTTGACGATATCATCTTTAAGTATTAGCAATAAAATTGTTTGAGCATCCAATGTTCACACATCCCGAACCCTCTCTGATATTGTCTTGGTGAGTATGCAGGGCGTTATATGTTATGTGTTATGCGTTATGCATTGTATTTTGGATGGCAACCAAGGCAACTCTGCACGGTTTATTTCTCGCCATTTAATTTTTGGGAATTTTGTCCAACCAATCCAACCAACATATTTCTGTGTTGTCGACTTCGACACCATTTTGTTTTTGGTGACACCCCATGGACGGTCATTGCATAGATCACTTGCCAGGCCATTGCAACTGTGGACAAGTGGACATGGTCGAAGACTTGCAGATCAAGATGGAAAAATCAACCGCGGAACAAAAAGGATTCCGCAAAGAATGCACTTTTCCTTCGTGGGGAAATGAAGGGAATCCCACATCCATTCTGGGGAGAAATTTCAGGTATAGGCTTGGGCCACGTGTGATGAAATTTCAGGTATAGGAGAGTGCACGGTAACGAAGGTGGGTACTTTGGTGGTTTTGGGCCCCAGGGTGACATCCCAACCATCCATGTCTCGGCCCAAAGGTGCTTGGCTTGGGACAACTCATATTTTTGAAGAGACAACACAACCACAAGCCGTGCAAACGTGGCAAAGGGAAATCATCCATTCATTTATAGATGATTTTTGAATTAAAATCTCCAATTGGGGATTTTCCAGCCATGTTTGATGACAGCGGGTACCAATGTACAGTCAACTTTAGCAGCCCTGGGCAAAGAGGCCAAACTATCATTTTTTCAAATGACAACAGCTTCAACTCTGTTCAAATTACATCAAATTACCAATTACAAACGTTAAGTTATACAACATGTCTCAGTAGTAAACTACTTTTGCTGCGATACAATCGGTCACAGAAATTCAACACCGACCGGATGTTTATGTAAATCTCACAAACAAACCATGAGCCGACCATGAACCAACCACCGCGAGTGGCATTTCCATAAAGGTACAATTGGAAGTTGAACAGTTTCCGATTGTGTTGTGGTAGAGTTGAAAATAACACGGTAGAAACAAGTGATATGGCCTTCGCCTTTTTTCATTGGCAAAGTGGGAAATCATATTTTTAAAAGACATTGCAACATTCTCCGTTTTGTTGGTGGTAAAACGGGTTGGACATTAAATAAATAAATAAATAAATAAAAACATATACATATATTTAATGGCAATTTTGGTTTTCTTACTTGTGGAGCACTTGATTCGTCTTTCGAGAACCACGGGACACGAGACAGACACGTTCGCAATGGCACCGGCGTAGACTGGGAACAACAGAGTGCGATGGAAAGGCCATGTGTTACGGGTCGTGTGACGTGTGGTTCAAGGTACTGATGACAAAATGAGGATATGCAAAGGATGCAATGGCAAAAGAAATGCTGGGTTGTTCATGGGATATGGCACCACTTAGTAGTGATTTGTCTCATAGCACCATGTCCATGGTAAAAATATGTAAAGATCTTTTTTTTGGTGAAATATTAGACCCCTCTTGGAGTTCCATGGTGAGATATTGACGGTCAACTCATCTTGGCACCTATCGACAGGTTGGCAAATGCCCGGTCTGGCGCCGGGGCTGGGACGTCTGAGAGGCGGAGGGAGTTGGAAGTTGCTGGGGATACCAGTTATATAACCAGTTTATCAACAATAATCAGATGTATACGAGCAAACATAATATCCATATGGGTTTGTCCGAACTTGGGATGTCATTTTAATCTGGGAAGATATCAATCATAGGATTATTTTGGAGCATTCGTACCTGTTTTTAAACAAATCCATTTGAGTATCTATCATGGAATAATCCAGTTTTCGTGATCGTGTGTCTCACTAGAAACTTTGATCCAGACAATGGAGATTTAAGACGGTATCAGCATGGAGACATGCACATGCCGGCGGATCATAGTTATAAATTGTTGTTTGCGCTATTTACGGGCTGGTTCAAACAATTTTACACGGAATATGATTGCACTTCTCAATAGACCCCAGTTGGTTGGGTTAGGTAGGCAGCTCAGAAAGAAGTGGGGATGTAGGCCAACAAAAAGCAAGAGATTCGCGAGGAGGAGTACGATGATCATCAGGATATTAAGGATGATGATATCAACATCAGAAATGTGGATGCGAAGCAACAACAATGGTGCTGGTAGGCCTCAAACGAAAGGGATGTTGGATGTATCCATCAAGCTTCTGGGCATTAAATCTAGCATAGCGATCCAAATTGAGGGGAATGCTGCCTGGCTTTCCCGTGGATGGGAAAGCTATAGAAACATCATTGGCGATATGGGGTTGACTGATGGGATACCAATGAACCCATAGAACGAGACATATCCTCAGTATTTAATCATCCCCAGGGCAAAAATGCTCTGAAGGGTCAACCCATCCGGGTCCATCTCCAACGAGCATTTGGAAAGGAAGTCTGTAAGTTTAGACGGCGATTCGTTGAGGATACTTTTGATGGAAACATTGGAAACAATCAAAGAACATGGCTGTTGAATGCCTGATTTTCCAGGACGGAGGCCAAGGAGCCACATATTAATGTCTTTTTTCAGAATGAATCTCTTGGACATTTTCAATCGTCGGAGCTTCAACGATCCCAGGACCTGCGGTTGAAAGGTGAACAGTAAACCAAGCTTCACTGAGTTAAGGACAAACAAATCCAATATGAGAATGTATGGTTTGGTGTGGGAATGTATTGTAAATTGTGGGAACCAAACTGTAAGGACTCGGCGCTTGCGATGGGTTGTTTGAATTTGTTTGATCCTTTACGATTCGGTGTGTGCCGTTATGATTTTCATGGGAGGTCGGGGCGTACCCACTGCAGAGGGAGAGGCAAGGGCTCGTGCAGCAGTTGTTATCAGTTGTTACCGGTGTGAAGAAGTGTTTCAACCAAGAGGGAAGAAGACCAACTTTGAAACGAAGAAAGGCAAGACTTCCGGTGTCAAAAAAGTAGGATTTCAGAATCGTCGCCAATGCGGATGGTGGAGATGAATGTCAGGTCGTTCACACAAAACCTCTTGCACGACTGCCGAAGCAATATCGAAGGATCTTGGCTGCAGTATCCTTTTGCAATCTAAGCTTGGGACAGCCCCAATTGGGTATGCAGCAGAATGCATGCCAAAATTTTGGGAGAATTTCCGAAAAGCTGGGGCAACACCGTTGAAACTAAATGTGGAATCTTGGGCTAGGAGGTTGAATTGTGGCGAAACTTGGGAATCGTGGCTTCAAGGGCTTTTGGGTGGCCGAGGTTTTTTGGAGGCTTAGCGCAAAATCAGTTTGGAGTGCTCGCCCTATAGATTCTCATTGATTGTTTTGTGATTGATCCCGACTTTGAACCCCCCTGAATGTGATTGTACTGTAATATAATTAATGCCCCCATTACACAGACATTACTATCATCACAACGCTTTTCGTGGCAGCCATACCTTCCATTTAGGTTGGCCCGAGTGGACAACTTCCTGAAGTTCTGCGATGTACCTCGGAGCGGTGCTCGTTGATGTGGTAATGTGGGGCTGTTATGACATGTGGAGCTCAAAATTGGGTTCCCAAACTTGGGAAGACGAATGAACATAATCAAGAACGGTCCCGTGACTCACCCTCCCCATATTTTTGGACGCCGAAGATCATCCAAACAAATATCATCAAGATTTAATCACGTGCTGTAACGGCCCCCGGACCATTATTCGCATGATTTATCACTTGTAAGTATCCATCGTACAGGCTTATTCTAGAAATAGTTCATCATTTTGTGTCTCCGCAAATCATGAACGGTGTTGATTAAAGTAATTATGTTAAGGTTGTTTATACGTCCCATAAGATACGCCGATTGATATCCCAGTAAATCTATATTCGTTCCCTTCAATCCATTAAAATGTCCATGAGCATCCCATTAATCCATTAAAGCCACATGCCCATTAACATTTCATCAATATATATATATATACGTATAATATATATATATATATTTGCCATATATATATATATAAATACATATACATGGCCATGAATCCATCGATACCCCCCATGGCTCCTTTGCTCCGTTGCCTCAGGAATCGAAACAACGCCGGGCCGTCGTGGCCTGCGGGAAGGACTGGCGCGCAGCGCTGGCCCTGCTACAAGGCCGGGCGGTTTGCCCAGAAAACGAACATAGCTATGGTTAAACCATTTAGTATGGTAACATGGTTTCTGATTGTATTTGCCCATGGTTTAACTACTTAGCTAAATAGCTATGGTTAAAATGGTTGAATAATGGTTGAACATGGGCCATTTAGTTCGATGATTTTTTTAGCTACCTGGATTGGACGATATGGACCCAGTTGAGGATGATTTTCTTGGGGAAACCATGGATTTTCAAGGTCTGCTCTAGGGTAAACTACATGACTGAAATTAGCAAAGCGAAGAAAACCTGGCTTGGATGAGCAATGGAAGTCTGAAAGGATATCCAGGGTTGGCTTTTCTTGATCTGCTGAAATGGTATCGTTAGCCATGAAAGTTTGCGGTTTTAAGGGGTTTAATCATCTCACCATTTTGAGGGTTCGGGTTCATGTGCGCTTTGAACTTGATTCGGATATTCAAGTTCAATTTGAACATCATCTTTGATAGACTATTTTAGTTTGTGTGCCAATGGGGTGAGGGATTGATCCTAAGCTTGGTCAAGACAAGCAGCCACAAATTGCTCCAATGAGTAGGGTCTAAGCGTGAGCGTCGTGTCGTGCAACTTCGCCCTAGACATGTTGAGTTTCAACTCATCTTACAGGATTCAGGGATGTTGAGATTCTTTCGAAAAAAGCCGTGCAGATCTCTTGAATATCTTTGCGGAACGTGTTTTTTGTGTGCAACCATCCTTTCCAGTATCCCTCCTCGGCGCCATACCTTCAAGATACATCAAGATACCAATTAATCACCATTAATCACCATTAATCACGATCAATCAAAGACAGCATTAGCCAACATAAAGGGCGGACCTGCCGAGTGCCGAGGCATCGACAAAGCTTCGGTGCGTCTTCACGTCTTGGGCTTCAATGCCGCCATGCGCACCTGCGTGGCCCAGCAGAAGTTCGATAGGGCGCTGAATGGTGTGGGGATTGAAATCGAGGGGGCACCGCTGTTGTAAATTAACATCATATCAAGTATTATGATATAAAATAACAATGAATATATATAATATATATATATATATTTTCTAATCTACTATAATACAATAAATGTCGATAAGGTTAGCTAACCAAAATGACATTTTTCCAGGTTGGTGACTGCAATTTAGCTAAACGTATAGGCGACCTGTTCTAGGAATACCCCAATGCATACCCATTGGGGACATGAAGCATGGCAGGAGGCCCTTTGGGCTTGGGAG